TTTTTCGTAAAAGCTATATTCTTCTCTCAATTTCACCTCACACTACCTACCTACCACTACTCCTAAGTGTAGGCATACGGGGAACCCGTAGCAGCCAGAACCGTGTTCACGAGAGAACATGCCGGGGCTGCTCCCGACCTGCAGGTGGGCGTTACCGGCTAGGGGACAGCCGGTAGCATCAGGGACCATGCCAACAGGACCAATCCCTGTGCCTCCGCTCAGGTCCCCTCCCCTATGAACTTATTCTCAATTTCACCTTTCACTATCTACCTACCACCACTCCTAAGCATATACAGGGGACCCGCCTGTGGGGGGCGCTGCTAACCCAAAACACATAGCACCTTGCCAGTCGCTGTCGGCTAACCCAAAGACAGAACACTTTGCCAGTAGCTGTGCCTCCCATCTACTTCCCCCACCCCCCATAGAGTAGCAGCAGTGTCTATGGCCAACACTCTCCCACACACCAAACACAAACCACAACCCACTCAAGCTTCCACTCACACCCGTGTTGGTCATAGACCCTGGTTATACCGATCAGGGTTATCAAGCGGACTATCACAGTCGGTTGACACTAAGTGCGCCACAGGCGTTCATGGGCCTCGAACCCACAACCTCCAGATTGCCACTTCCGTGCCTAAATGACGAAGTTGTAAACGAACGAAAAAGCTGAAGGCGGCCTGGTCGGGTCGTAAAAGAAAACTGGGACTCCACAGGCCCGCCGTTGGTGGAGCTTTCATGACGGTTGCGGGGGGGTTTGTTGGGCGAGTCGTGGCGCAGACGTAAAATTGACCGTTAGAAACGTCCCACCATTCCCACCGTTCACAGACCCTGTTGTGCGGCGATGCATGCCACCCACCGGCGTGGTGGGCCCACTGGTGTACAGGACCCGTTGAAAAAGGCAACGGAGCTCTGCTGTTCACGGGCTCCTGCTGTTTGTGGGTCTCCACCTTTTGGTCCCGACAAGGGAAGTAGGTACGTTGCACTCCTCTCCTCGCGTCCTTCGTCCCGTGGCATCTTCTCTGGCGTCTGTGACGTTCTAACCTCACGCCCTGTCCTGTCTTTCGGCCAGAGTGATAAATTATGGGGAATAGGCCCTGAAAGAACAGCAAAATAGGATGTGCCAAGGATTGTTGGGAATATTGAGTGTGGGGCCACAGACGAAACTGAAAGCCCCCGTGTGATTCCAGTTCTAGTGAGAAGGGGCCATAGTCGCGCTACTTTCAAATGTTCGCCTAATCCAAAAAGTATTTTTAAACCTCCGTGCGAGTTACTCGTCGTCTTTTCAAACAAAAAGGCGGGGTACACACTTGGGATCTCGTTTTCGAATTAAATCCCGGCACCGTTGTCGAGCGTATCAGTCCCGCAAGGGGACCCTCCCGGCCCCGTCATGCAGGATTTTGCAGGACTTTTTATTGTAATGGAGCTTTCATCGCTCCACCCAAGTGCGCCAGCCGCACCTCTCGCAAACCCCTATGACAGGATAGGGGTCACATGAGGCACAACTTACCTCTGCCCAAGGGACTATCACCACCCTTGGACGGGCGTATCCTCGCCAAGCTATCGAACCATGTGAGAAAGCTGCTCGAGTGCAATCGTGGAGGTGGCCCAACCGAGAGTGTTTCTCGTACGTTGTAGGGGTACGATCGGTCAAACACCTTTTTAAGAGTTGATGTCGCAAGCGATGTTCGGTGCCGGTCGACTAGAACGGTCCCTCTAACCACGCGATACACCTCGCCAAAATAAAACCAGGTTTCACACATAAATCGCGCCTAATCTCTTTCTTATTCGACGCTTAGCGTTTCAATGGCAATATACCCGGATGGCATTGGCACTCATGAGGCTCTGAATAAATATCGCGGCATCGTAGGCTTTGTCATATCGACTAGCCATGCATAAATATGTATGCAGTCGAAGTGATGATGTACTATGTGGTACCTATGATCATGCGATCCTCAATGTTTTTTAGGGTCGCTATCGACACTCGAGTATCGGGTGACACGTGTCTTGACGGTTTAATCTTTCGACGTTCGACAATCGTGAAGGCGATTGTAAATCTACCTTCTTCTGCACCCTGCACAAACGAGTGGTAGGCGGGCTTTAGCCCCTTGCGGAGGTTGAACACCTCCGATCCAGGGAATAAGGCTCCATCATCCGAGGTCTGGAAACAGGTCAAGGGGTTTGACAATAGTGCGGCCTTTGAGTGGTAAATGGGGTGTGTGAGGTCTCCTCGGGGTAGACGCATAAGTTTGATGGTCGTGAATCGAGTTGGTTGCCTTGATATGTGTTGGTAGGGCCGAACGTCGCGCAATACCACTTATATGGATTTGTGCGACTGCTAATACCAACCTTGGGCCTAACACTATTGGGTACAATGTCAAACTTTCATCCGGGAGATTCAGGGATTAAGGCTAGCGGGCGACAGCGCAAGAGCATTGGAGAAGCTTAAAGAGGTCGAGGGGTTTAGGGCCCGGTGGGGCTATCCCCCTTGGTATTGGTATCGGTCACACTCGCATGTATGATGGGTGGGACCGAGGGGGTACCAGAGGTTCCTCCCCCTACTACATTTCTTATTTTTATTTATTTGTATTTTATTTATCGGTTTTTGTATTCATGTTCTGTTTTCTTTCGGGAGTACCAATTCCGGTGTTGGGTCTGAGACCAGAACAGGCATTGCAACCAGCCGGCCTAGCTCAGACTCAGAACTGAGTCCGAGTGGAGATGCCATTCGGTAAATAGAGCAAAATATTTTTAACCTGCAACAGGTCAGTCCACCGCTGATAACTCATCGTGTTGTTCGAGACGCTGGCGAAATTCCTCTATGATCCTTCCTGTTTTTTAGGTGTGGTCCAAGAGGTCTCGTGCATATAGGCCGTGTGCAGGTGGCTTGAAATCCAGGGGCCTTGCTGCTCTCTGATTCGTAGTCTTGAGAGGCAACCTCTGCAACGGGCTTAACTCAACTGGTATATCTAAAAACTGTTGAAATACAAATTTAAGTTCGATTCCAAATGTTGTCAAATGAACTGGACAAAGCCATTCAAAATTGCATGAGATCGGTCATAGGGCCAGCGACCCTGGCTCAGTTGGTACACCTATGAACTGTTCAACTACATACTCGAACTGGAATCCAGATACAGTAAGATGCCCAGTATAACTTAACTCAAGATTACATGGGATCGTTCAGTCAGACGGTTCGCCGGTTTTTGTCCTTCAGGACATTCGTTAAAATTGAAACGATACAAAGAAGATTAGCATGGCCCATGCGCAAGGATGACATACATAAATTGAAAAATGGTTCGTACATTTTGTTTTTTTTCGGTTTCGTTTTCTACTATGAGCATGGATCGCTCATTAGTGGTTGAGCTACAGGCGGGTAGGAGCATGTTGATGATAACACGAAAAGGAAGGAAGGTGGTGGAGACGAAGAGAGGAAAAGAGTGTAGAGTAAAGAGATGTGTGCTCAATCGTTCATCACCACGACTTTCGTCCCTGTAGGTGATGGTGACGTTTTTTGTCGGCGGCGCATGGGGGTCGCTCTACGCCTTAGTTAGGACGACCTTCATCCAAAGGACTCCCTTCTTCAACACTATGGTTGCGCCTTCCGCTAGTAATCTATACCTCATTAGTGGTTGTGTAGACTGTTGTTGACCTTTATCCAGACGATCTGACGTTCTCCTGGTCCCTTAATGAATCTAGCCAGATCAACGGTCAGGTACGACTAAGTTATAGCTCACCTGGATTGCAGAGT